TCCAGAAGGTCTCTTACAGGTGCCAAGAGGTCCTCTGCTCCCTGGTGCTCCACATTCCAGCCCAGTCGTGGGCAGGCTGAGCTCTGCTCAGTGCACAGCGTGTTCCTAACGAGAGCTGCAGCTTTCCCTGATTACTGAGGAAATTCCTGGCAATTTGTTCCAAGCCTGGTCGGTTGGTGCTTCCAAACCGTGGGCCTGGACTAAGAGAATCCCTCAGCACACACGTCAGAGCCGCAGTTTTAAAGCCGAGGCGGAGAAAGCCAAGAGTCTTTTCCAAACCATTCCCCTCGTGCGCCAGAACCCACTGCACTTGTTCCTTGGGATCCTTCACAACATTCCCAGGTTCAAATTGTCTTCTCCTCGTGCCCTAAGCTCCACATGTTGCTTCTGTTCATGGCACAGCTGAAGGAGCCCTCTCCTCCTCTGATCACTGCATGGACAGAGGGAAACTGTCCTGCTGCTCCTTCCAAGCCTGGCTGCTCTGGAAGACTTTTCCTGTTATTCCCATCCCACCACAGCTGCCCCATCATTTACTGGGAGGTACAGCCAGAGAGGGGCAGGTTGACAGCATTTCAGCTGCTCTGTGTTAGTGGCTCTGGGAATGTTCTCTGCCTGCTCTGGACTCTCCCACATGCATCATGGGATGAGAGAGCTCAGGCAAGTGGTGCCCAGCAGGCCCTACCTGAGCTCTGGAGAACCTGCTCCGGGAGCCATACCTGAGGAGGAACTTCTCAGCTCCTTTTTCAACAGCTTCTCCTTTCCTCTGCACACTGAGAAAGCAAATGGAGTCCAACCATCCCTTTGTGCAGCCTCAAGCCAGGAGAGGAGGCAGAAGGGCCGTGTCCCTCCTCTCCCTGTTGGAATATTCACACAAAACCCAACAGGAATACAGAATTTTATGTACTTGGGGCCACATCTGGCCATAACATCACTGCAGCAGCATGTGCTGCGCATTCCCCTGCGCAGTTCAGCACATTCCTGAGAGCTGCACGATGATTTCAAGGCCCTGGAATTTGGGAAGCAAAGGCTGTCTCTTGCTGCGGCGCCGGGGGTGTGGGACTGTTCCACATCACTGCCCAGCTCTCCTCGTTGTGCTGCACAAACCAATTCTGAAGGGCAGCAAAGTGCCAGAGGCTGGTTGTCAGGAAAGCCCTGGGAGGAAGTGGGACAGTGAGCCTTGCTCTCATTTTGGCTCCATCACATGGAAAAGGCAGAGGAGCAAGTGAGAAAGTCACCAAACCACAGCACTGCAGAGCAGCTGCTTCTGCTCATTTAAATAAAGCTGAAGGAAAGCCAACACAGGTACAACATACACTTGCACCTGACTTCCCACAGGAGGGACTAAATCTGCCCTACATCCCTGATCCATGGTTCCCAAATTCTCCCTTACAGAGCACAATGTTGTTGTCTCATCACACACAACCCTGCAGAGCCATGAAGGGCTCCAGCTCCCAGAGCTCTGCTGAGGGACAGCAGTTCCTTTTATCACTTCCTAGAATTTAAGCTGTCACCTCATCCCCATCACCCAGAGTGCTGGGACAGGCAGCTCTGGAGCAGCCAGGACAAAGAGGGGGCACTTGTGGAACTGCAGCACTTGTTGACCCTCTGTGCTCCTTCAGAGCATGGATTGTGCACAGGGGGAGGGGAAAGGGCCCTCTCAGGGCCATTCGAGGAGCTGAGGGCACTTGGTTTGTTCAGCCTGGAGAAAAGGAGGCTGAGGGGAGACCTCACAGCTTCCTCATGAGGGGCAGCCCTGATGTCTGCTGTGCCCAGGGACAGGATCCAGGGAACAGCTGGAGCTGTGCCAGGGCACGGTCAGGTTGGATCTCAGGAAAAGGTTCTTCCCCAGAGGGTGGTTGGCACTGACCAGGCTCCCCAGGGCAGTGGGCACAGCACCAAGGCTGCCAGAGCTCCAGGAGGGTTTGGACAATGCTCTGAGGGACAGGGTGGGATTGTTGGGGTGTCTGTGCAGGGCCAGGTGTTGGACTGGATGACCCCTGTGGGTCCCTTCCAGCTCAGGATATTCCATGATTCTGTGAGATCCCATTCAAGAAACTGAGCCCCAGGAGATGGTGAGATCCTGACCAGGGGACAGCAAGGACTGACCTCTGAGCTGAGCCCAGACTGAGCTCAGCACTCACAGTCATCTGTGACCACACAACCAAGTGACACAAAACCAAGTGACTGGCAAAATTAGTTTTAGTACCAAATGATATCCAAAGCCTAAAACCATCCATCAATATTTTCATTCCCTACTGCCTCCAGAGCAGTCCCTGCCTCGGAAAGACTCACTTTCATGAGTATTTATTAACTCAGGGGTCTGATGGAGAAATCAATGACCCTTAATCAGACTCTAATTCAAATGAAGTGGTCTTGTCCTTATCTTTTATGCACAAACACTCCTACATTAGGCAGGACTGGACCTTTGTTCAGTGCTCAACCATCCACGCAGCATGGGTGGGTAAAATACAGTTATTTGTGAAGTGGTTTATTGCTGTTAAAGAAATTAATAACAGTACATTCATCCAAATCCCATGTCAGCTTGGACCTCTATCTCAAAAGGGAAACAGCAGGATTTAAGGGGTCCAACAGTCAGACAAAAAGAACAATTACAGCACAGAAAAACTTTCGAGTGATGAGAGATTTAAAGGATTTTGATTGTTTATCTAAAAGAGAGCAAATAAATGAAATCATGATGGAAGTTTACAAAACTACAAGTGGTCTGGAAAAAGGAAACTTCCACTCACCACCTTTGTTAACACAAGCACAAGGGCATTCCCTGAAACCCACAGGAGACAAATCACGATGCAATGAACAGGTGAAACTTTCATCCAAACCTCCACTTAACTGGGGGATTTCTTACACTACATGGAAACCCAGTCCCTGACAGGGGGCTAAGTGAGATACACGTAAGAATATTCAGGATTCAGGTTCAGCTAAACCCCTGATAGTTCAGGGGTAGAGAAAACCCTCCCTGGGGACAGGTTATCCTGGAAGTGCTCATGCTGGGAGGCTTGATGCCCTTTCAAGCCTTACTGGTGGGAGTGTTCCAAATGTAAGCATCTTGTTCCACCCCCTGCCGTGGGAAGGGACAGCTTCCACCAGATCAGGCTGCTCCAAGCCCCGTCCAGCCTGGCATCATCACCCAACCTTCACCACCACCTCCAGCTCCAAGGGAGAGGGTCACCTGAGGTGCCAACACCTGCTCAGAAGTGCTGGGAATGAACAGGAACCATCATTTTGGCTGCTTTGCTACTGAGTCTCACCTTTGTAGGAATCACCTGGGGAAAAGCTCCCCAGACCTCAGTGCCCTCTGGCCCCCAAGGGGCACAATGCCCGATGCTCCACCTGGTTTATAACCCTGGCTCTTGCTTTTCCTCCCTCTCCCCGAGCATGTGAAGGCTGTTCCTAAACACTGGGAACACAAACATCCTCCTGGAGCCCTGGAGGCTCCCAGGTCCCTCCAAGCAGCACGGCAGTGACACAATCTGACACTCACTTCCAAGACAGCAAGAGCCAGCAGAACAGGAAAGGAGCATCTTCCCGGGGCTGGAGTGGGTTTGGCACCGAGCCCACTCTCTGTGTAAGCACAGACTCAACGGGAAAATATTCAGGGAAGAAAAGAAACCCCTTGATTAGAACAGTTTTTAAAGAGGCTGCCTGAAATGTTCTCTTTCTTCCCCTCTTATCTCCTGCATGATGAGCTTCCCTGTGTGGCTGAAGTTTACCAGGAAGGAATGTCTTGATCCATGACATAAACCAGGCACCACCTGAGGGTTTGCTCTGTGTCCTCCCTGCTCCATGAGCCCCAGTGCTCGATCCAGAGCCTTTACGTCCAAAACCATGCAGGAAGAGTGCAAGGAACAGCTCCAGCACTGCTGACTAATGCCTGCAAGCTACGTATGATCCTGAGTAGATACTTCAGCCTCAGATTCCCCACCCCACAAAGGACAAGCAGTGCCAAATACAATCCCAAGTTTCCAGTTTTCCCACCACTTTTTATCCAGGGTGTGCAGCACTCAGGTGAAGTGTTCCTTCCAGGACCTTATTTGTTTTCAGGAATCTCCTGGTCTAGAGGGATTAAAGAGGCTGGCAGGACTCAGGAGCTTCCCTTCTCCCAGCTTGGGGCTCTCCCACCACCTCCCCGTTCCCAGCCCTCCCCTCGGTGCCATCCTGCCTCCCCCCCTCACAGCAGACCCACTCACATCTTCCTACTTGATTCCAACAGGCATAAATTCCCCAGGAGCACAGGGAACACCAGGCTTTCCTCTATCTCACACCTCATTCTTTACACACCCTACTTTCCCCCATCCCAGTATCTTTTGTTGCCCCCCTTTCTTGCCCCATTCCCTGCCTCCTTTGCCCCCTCCTTTTTCAGATAAGCTTCTCCACTCTCACTCCAGCCCTGCAGAATATTTATCTAATAAAGACTACAAAGAGACCAATTCATTCCACATATCTCACTAACCTCTATTTCTCCATTCTTATTATAACTCCCATTTATCTCCTCTGGACTTTTTCTGTAACCAGCCCTTTATCTCATCTCTTTCATGAGCATTCATTTGTCCAACTCATTTTCCTGACCCATTTCTTAGAATTACAGAACTGCAGCATCCTGAACAAAACACTCACCATGGAAAATCCCTGACAGAGGACACGGGGCAGTTTAACCTGGAAGTTTAACCTGGAAGTCAGGCCACGCCTGATCCAGTAGCAAAGTATATTCCTCATCAATGAGTACTTCCTATCGTTTTCCAAGTTTCTTTTAGTTTCTGCTACAAACTCAACGAGGAACTAATGTCTGATAAACTTGTATTTAATTACTGATTTATGGTATTAGTGTGCTAATCTAAGTGCTGTCTGAGTGCACAACCTTTCTTCACTTAATTTCCACACTGGTCACGGACAACACAACTCAATTTTTTGAGCAGAGAAGCTGAGAACGGGACAAGAGGAGAAGAGGGAGGCTGGGAATGCTCTGCTCCAACGCCAGGTCTTACCTGTGAGAGCCCAGGGGACGAGGCATGTCCCGGTGGCGTTGCAGCAAGATTTGGGTGTCCCTTATTTATTTCATGTGCAGTGTAAGGGGATGGGGCAGGAGGACCCGGTTGTCTTGCTACTTGTGTTACCTGTGTGGAGATAAACTGTTAGTAAAACAGAACATTAGTAACCAGGTCTGCAGAGACACTGAAATCTTTATAAGAAAGCAGCGAGCAGCACCTTCATAAATATATATATATTTTTTTTTATCTCTATATATCTCTTAAGGGGAAGGCTGCAAAGTTATTATATTTTCAGGAAAACGGGGAAGGATCAAAAAATAAGGGCACCAGCTGGAGTCAATGGTGGGAACGTTGTAGGAACTGAATTTTTCCTGCTGTGGTGCTGCTTTGCAATATCCCTTTGCCTTCAGGCCTGGGACCTTCTGGTCCCTCCATTAGAAGCCATATTGAAAATCTTGGGAATTGCAAAGAGACACACACTACCAGTGACCCAAAACACAAAGTAAGGGGGAGATTTGCACATTCTCCTCCAAAAAGGAAAAAGAAAGGACTGCACAGGGCCCTGATATCTGCAGGAGGAAAGACTGAAATACCAAAGCCACGTGTGTTTATCTCCTTTCTCAGCTTCTATAAAAAATACTCATCAAAACATTACATGAAGTAAAATATTATAAAATATGTTCACAGCAACATACTCACTCCCCTGGACTGTCTTCATGATGGAACTATTTTAAATATATTTTATAGAGTTGCTTTAGTAAAAAAAGGAGAATCAAAGGAAAAAAAGAATCCCATAACTATCGGGTGGCACCTCCCAGCAGTTCAACACAACTAAATTTTGGCAGATTTGGTTAAAACTCACAGAAATTCAGCACTTGCTTCTCACTGACCTTTCCTCATGTATTTTGTCTGCTGAAAAGCACCACTTAACCATGGAATGGTTTGGATTGGGAGGGACTTTAAGGACCATTCAATCCCACCCCCTGCCATGGGCAGGGACACCTTCCACCAGCCCAGGTTGCTCCAAGCCCCGTCCAACCTGGCCTTGGACACTGCCAGGGATGGGGCAGCCACAGCTTCTCTGGGCACCCTGTGCCAGGGCCTCCCCACCCTCCCAGGGAAGAATTCCTTCCCAATATCCCATCTATCCCTGCCCCCCTGAGCTACAGGTACTCCAGGCCCCACACAGGTCCCTGGCACTGCAGACAGACGGGTGTGCACAGATTTCCCCAGCCCAGATAAAGAAGGAAATTCCTGGCTCCTCTAAAGGACTATTCACTCCAAGCTCCAAGAGAGCAAAGCACGAGAGCAGAAGTCCCAGAGTGCAGCACTAATTGCCTTTCCCGAGTCATTTTATTGCACTCCAAGTATCGATGTCCCTCGTTCCAGTCCCTGAACCACTTCAAGGGCTGCACCAGCAGCGAGAACCACAACCTGCAACTGCTCTGGGCTTGGGAACGGGCCAGGATCCTTCCCTGAGGGAAGATTTACAGCAGCCCTGTGCTCACCAGAGGAAAGGGTGGGTCCTGCAGAGCAGCTCAGCCTCTGTCCCCAACGGGATCCTGCCCCTCGCCAGGGATGAATCATCTCTCCCTTTGGGCTGATCTCTGCTGGCAGGTGTGAGCACACAGAACCAGAGCCAGCCTGACAGACCATCAGAAACTTTCCACAGCCCAACCCTGAGAAAATCAAAGTCTCTTCCCTGACTCCCGTGACAACCCTGAGAGACTTGTCATGTCAATTGTGCAGCAGTCTGGGCTCAGCAGCAACTGTGAATGATGGGTATCAAATAATGCAGTTCAGGGGGAGAAGGAAGCAAAGGAAACACAAAATACAAGGAAATCATTCCTATCAACAGCCCCATCAGCAGGTTGTGTCCATGCTCAGCACCAGCACGTCTCCCTGAATGTCACTTCTTAAGGTAAAACAGGTTATTTTGCAATAGCTGTGGGACTTGGACCACTGCCAGTTTTTCCCTCCCTATACCCACCAGTGCTCACTGATCCACAACCAAAAATCCTCAGCTCCAACAGCCCCCGTGCCCACATGGAGCTCTGACGAGGGGACAGGGGCACTAATAACACCCCAGGTCAGTGTGAGCAATCAACAGTCCTCTTTGGGAATTACAACACGCAAACAGAATCATGGAATAGAATATTAGAAGCATTTAGGTTGGAAAAGCCCTCCAAGATCACCAAATCCAATGATTCCACCAGCACTGCCAGGTCCACCACTAACCCATGTCCCCAAGTGCCACATCCACAAACCTTTTGAACGCTTCCAGGGATGGGGACTCCACCACTTCTATAGGGAAAATAACCTAAGATGGAGGTTAATAAAGACAGCAAGGAATGCTCTTCTGATTGGGTCTGGAATCTGGAAGCTGAACTGAGAGGAAAACTGTGCAGCTGCTTGGAATGATGGTGCCTGAGATACCCCCGCACAGTGCAGAAGAGAAGCAGCAGATACATGATGGGCACACGTCTGGAACCACTAAAATCTGCCTGAAAGCCTAATCAAGGCAGCAGAATCCTACCAACAACACCACACTTGGACAGCATCCCATGGGAACCCACCACTGACCTTCCACGACCTCCTAAGATCAGGTGGTCCTTCCAGCAGAAGGAAAAGCAGAGAGAACCTTTCTCAGCAGCAGCAGCAAGGGAGGTGTTTCTACACCTTCCTCTTCCTACCACAAATTACTTACAAATAAAATGAAACGTAAGATACTGATTTTAATGACAACAGGTGATAAAGGAAGACAAACTTGCTGCATTTGTGTGTCCATTTGATAACTGTTAACAAATCCATGAGGGAGAGCCTATCCAAGCTCATCCCTTCTGGGATGCCTGTTCCCATCGTGCCTGGGGTGTGGTTTGCCGTTTATGAAATGGTCTGAGATTACTATGGAAGCAAATATCCCCCTTAAATCTATAGATTAAATTGTTCCCCTAGAAACAGATCCACAAAATGACATATTAATTTGCTAGGGTATCACCTTCTGTTTTCCCTGAGTACCAAGAGGCTCACTTTAGTTTTCCAGAAGCCTTATTAATCCTGTGTTTTAAAGGAAGTAATGAATGAGAGATGACATAAAAACTCAGTCTGGAATTCTTGATTTTCTTTTAGAGATTAAATCTTTTGGGTTTAGCACCATTTACAAGTTTGGGATTATTCTTCCCCCTACCAAGTACCTGATTTCAGGTACTTCAGAAGCTGCCCCATCCCTGGAGGTGTCCAAGGCCAGGTTGGATGGGATTTGGAGCAATGTGGGCTAGTGGAAAGTGTCCCTGCCCGCGGCAGGGGGTGGGATGGGGTGAGGAACTGAGCATCCCTCCTGCAGCCAGGCAGGGACCGCGCCGGCCTCCTGACCCAGATCCTTCCTTTAAGCACAGGGTGGCTGGAGCAGCTAATCCTCCCTAATCTCCTCCCTACAGGATTCTCTTCACTGCAGGAAGATCCCTTCAAAGGACGTGAAGGCGAATCACGGAGCGCTGGGTCCAGCCAGGCTCAGGGACTCTGCTCAAGGCGGCCCCTGACCAGGTGACAAACCCTTCTCCCCACACAGGCACCTCTCATTAACACTCATTTCTAACTAGTTCACACCCAGGAGTCAACCAGAGAAGCCCAGAATGGTTTGGGTTGGAAGGACCTTAAAGCTCATCCCATTCTGGGGCAGGGACACCTTCCACTGGACCAGGCTGCTCAGGGTCCCAGTGCTGCTCCTCAGCTTATCCCAAAGTATTTTTGGTCTGAGTTTCAGCACTTGAGATCACAGCATGTTACTGAGGGAGCTGTGAACCTCCACCACAACCTGCCAAAAAAGGGGATTTGTGCAAAAACTGGATGTCCATTTCCACAGTTATTCCTCTTATCCAACTCCCAACTCAGGCTGTATTTGAGGAGCGCGTCTGCTCCCCGTCATTTGTCCACACGAATCTCATTTCAACAGAATCAGCCCCATTTCTCTGGGCACAGGGGTGGCCTGTGGGATTTATGGTACCGTGGGTGCAGTTCCCCTGCTGTTAGAAGTCAACATCCTTCCAAAAAACTCCAACCCAAAAAACTCTCTTGAATATATTTCTTTGAAATAACAGAAACAAAAGTTTATTTTTATTCCCCGTCTAAACTCTATAGTTATGGCATCTTACAGCAGACACATGAGTAACCATCTTAATTTCTTGCAATATAAAGAATTAGGAAACACCAGGCAAGAAGCTGCTTAAAGGGCAAACCCCAAATCCTTATGTCAAAATCTAGATCTTTTGATAAAGTGTCTCCATTGTTGATGAGGGGAAATTATTACAAGATTAGTTCATTGAAATAATTATTTCCAACTGTGATTTGCTTTAAAATAATTCTACCCTAGATTGATTTACTTAAAAAAACCCCAATCCAACAACTTCCTTAATATCAGTATTTTCTACAGGACACTTAAATAAACAAAGATGACACATGATGAATTTAGGTGGGTTTGGTTTTAACACCAGTATGATTTCCTTGAGAAAGAGGTTCTACCAAAGTTCTGTTGGGAATTTTGAGTATCTCCAAGTTCTCAAACAAACTGCATCCCACTTGGCCTCCTCCTCAGCTCCTGTCTCTGCCCTACAGGAAGACTTGTTCCTCTGCTTTAGTTTTATTACTGGGGCTCATTGTGGAAGCCACTTGATTTTCCATTCCCATTTTTGTAGCTCTGGAAAAAAACAGCTCTGGAATGTGCAACCGAGTTCCTGATAAGGCATGTGGAAAGGCATGGGAAGGAGAACTGAATTAGTTTTCATTTTTATCCAACTAAAAATTGGGGTTTCACCTGTGGGTTGCCGCTGCCTCCAAAGGTTTGTCCTCCCATCCCATGCACAACACACAGGGGACAGAGGCAGCTCAGAGTCACCACGGGGTGCTTTCAGACACCAGAGCTCTCCCCAAACCAACCACCCTCTCAAAATACCCATCTGTGATCCATAATCCTTGTGGGATCCCACCCAGCACGTCCAAGCAAACAAACCATGGAAGGTGAGGAGCAGCCCTGGGTGCTGAGGATGGACTCCAAGGTTGGACTTGGATGATCTTGGAGGTCTTCCCTCCAACTTTAATGATTCTGTGATTCCATGGTGACCTTCCACACCTTCAATTAGGTTGTTTTTTGTAAAATCTAGGCAAACTATATATAAAAATCATCAACTAAAAAGTTATTTATCTGTTGCAAACCCAGACCTTAAATCCCCGGTGCTCTTACTTGTGTAACAAAGACCTTTCATGAATGAATTTGTCAAGGCTCTCCCATCATGTGCTTTTTCCATCCCAATTCATTTTTCTCTGGACTTCTCTAAATCTGCCAACTGCCTGGGGCTTCAAATGGAAGCCCAAAAGGAATCCAGCTGAGAAATTTCTCTCCTTTCCCCAAAACATGATATTTTCTCTCAAACTTGTGCTTTCTTACAGCCTGGAACTGAGACGCTCCCAGCCCTGGCTTCTATTCCTGTAACACAGCAAGGAGTGATATTTTTCCACACTGAAAAGCTATTTTAGGTCATTCTTCACAGTTACTTTTCTATTTTACATTAATTTAAATTTTTACAGTCATATTTTCCCCACAGGCATCTGCATTATATCTTGGGAGGAGAGAATTGAAAAAAATAACCCTCTTTAAAAGGAATTCAGATATTTTTAAAGTGGTTTTTAAGTGTTGTATGGGGTACATAAAGGACAATAAAAACTGAATTATTTATTACAACTGTTTGTACATTTATGTTCACAGAATCCCAGAATGGTTTGGGCTGGAAGGGACCTCACAGATCATCTTGTTCCATGGGTAGGGACACCTCCCACTGTCCCAGGCTGCTCCAAGCCCCATCCAATCTGGCCTTGGACACTTCCAGGGTTGGGGCAGCCACAGCTTCTCTGGGCAACCTGTGCCAGGGCCTCTCCACCCCCACAGGGAAGAATTTCTTCCTAATTTGTTCCTTTGGTGTTGTTTTTTCCCATACATACATCTATGTATGGGATACTGAGGACAGAGAGAGCAAAAAACATCAACCCCCACCTGCAGCTTGGGTTTGTTATTCACTGTTGTCAACAACAAACCTCTAAATCCTAAATCCTTGCCAGAGTTGTATCCCAACTTTCCAGCTCCCCTGGATGGAGATCCAGGGCTGGTTGCCCACCAGACCATCCATGGCCAAGCCCGAGTCCTTCTGCTCCCGAAAGTGTCACCTGAGTCTCTGCCTGGACCAAGGGCACTTGGCAGCACTGGCACCCTGAACCCTGCCCAAAGCTCAGCCTGGCACCTCCTGACAGCAGCTACTCTGGTAGAAGAGGCATCTCTACCACCCAGAAAGGGAAGGGACCAAAGATGATCATCATCATCATGGAATGGTTGGGGTTGGAAGGGACCTTAAAGCTCATGTCATTCCACGGGCAGGGACATCTTCCACTGTCCCAGGTTGCTCCAAGCCCTGTCCAACCTGGCCTTGGACACTTCCAGGGATGGGGCAGCCACAGCTTCTCTGGGCTAAAGATGCTCCAGGCCAGGACCCCCCACATGGAACCAGAGCTGACAACCCCATTCCCAGTCACTCCTGTAAACAGAGGAGGAGAAAACCTCACCCAGCAGCTTATGTCTTCTATAAGCAGCTTATGTTACTGCATAAAATACAGTGAATTTATCCCATCTACAGCTTTTCTTCCTGATTTCCAAATAATTAAAAGAGCAGCTTAAAAGTATTTTTTGCTTTAGCATTAAAAATATTTGCACTATCCCAACTAGAAAAGCAAAATATAACTTTCCCAGGGCTGTGCTGATTAGGCAAAGCTTATAAATAACCCTGGGCTTCCAGCTATTGCCATTGGAAAAAAAGAAATGAATAAAAGGAAAACACTATCATGTGTTCACAAATAAACATCACTGTGTTTCTAAGCTAAATTTCCACAATAATCAATATTATACATTAACAAACATGTAGGACAGTGAGCCAAAGGCACCTATAGATATTCAATCTACTATTAACAAATTTCTTCCTCTGTGTAATGGAATGTTTTCACATGGAAACAAATCTTCCTTGATTATTTCTCTGATACTCTGAAGGTATTGGAAATGTGAAGCCACTAACACACTCCAAGTCAGTCTTTGAGATTCAGGGGGAAGGAAGGAGATGGAGCCACAGAGGGAATATATGGCCCAAACACTGTCACTCCAGTGAAACTGTTGGGAAAACCCACTCTCCCATCTGCTAAATAAAACTAGAGACACTTAGAAATAGGAATGGACCCAGAAGTCCTCCCAAGATTTTTTCCTTTCCTGCTCATGTGCAACAAAAAAGGGTCTTCATAAAATCACAGAATTATTAAGGTTGGAAAAGACCTGCAAGATCATCAAGCCCAACCTTTGGCCACTATCCCCATTTCCAGCAAATCACATCCCCAGGTGCCACATCCAAACTTTTTTTGAACACTTCCAGGGGTGGGGACTCCACCACTGCCCTGGGCAGCCCCTTCCAGTGCTTGACCACCCTTTCCATGAAGGAATTTTCCCAATATCCAAACTAAACATCCCCTGGCACAACTTCAGGCCATTTCCCACTGTCCTGTCCCTTGTTTCCTGGAAGCAGAGCCTGACCCCCACCTGGCTCCCCCCTCCTGAGCCCCCTCCCTTCCCTGCTCACATGCAACAAAAGGGATCTTTATCCAGCACCACTTATTTCAGGAGGGAAACAGAAGCTGCATCTTTTTAAACGTATGTTTTTTAGTTGCATGGTTCCTAATTGCACTAGGTTTTTTTTAATAACTCTATGACAATACAGTTGATATAAAATAGACCATGACATGACACATGATGTGCCTCCCCAAGCCCCAGGGAGGTGGCCTGGGCAGATACTCACAGTGCTGTACACAGCGGAGACGGTCGGAGTGAAGATCCGATCCTCGAGGGGCTGCTGGACAGGACCTCGGGGGATTCTGCAACACAGCAAGTCAAGGAAAGCAGCCTGGAAGACAGGGCTGGGATGTGGGGACACCCCCGGGGGACACCCCCCACCCCAGCACTCACAGGCAGCTCCAGTCCCTGAGGTTCTCCCAAAGAGGACACCCACCCACCCCCAGGACTCACAGCCACCCCGGCAGCTCCAATCCCACAGGTTCCCCCAAAGAGGAGCAGAGTGTGGCTCCAGAGGCCATTCCCACAAACACAGCGAGGGAATCTGAACAATCCACAAAACCTTGGGCCCTCAAGAGCATCCCCCACCCCTGGTTTTATTTGGAAGAGTAAGGGAAAAATCCCAGGAGCCACAAGTCCCCCCCCAGCATTCAGCAGGACAAGCCCTGCTGACCAGCAGGGCCCTGGGACAATGGCAGCTCCTGTTTTGCTAAGCAGGCAGGAATCCCGCTGGAATTGTTTCCTTGTTTGCCTCTCCTCACCCAGTGACTCCTTTCCTCCTCTGCCCTCCAAAAAAAAAGGGGCTGTCGGATAAATGGGAGGTTTCCAGGAGCTGCTGCAAGGGGATTTAAAGGCAAAACACATGAGGTTGCTTAGACTGGAAAGGTATTGTAGGGGAAAAAAAGGGAAAAAGACTTTATGCACAAAAAAAAAAAGCTAGAATCTGGTTTATTTGTGGACTAAAGCAAGGGGATGCAGGAATTCAAAAGAAAAAAAAAAAGCCTGGCTTAGGTAATACCTTGTGGCCTTAGGCCCAGCACGTATCTGTCAAGAAAAAGTCACTTACTGAAAAATTTTCCTAAATGCTATAATCAGATTTCACCTTTTTGCTGTTTATATTTTATACACCAAAACCTCATGGAAAATGAGAACAGTCTGATTAAGGTTCTTGCACACAAGGCAAGACACAAACCTCACATGTTAACGTGGTGGGATATTTTAAATAGTCATGAAAACACTTCTTGATTTTGTTCAAACAAGGAAAAACACACTCCTAAGTTAAATTTTGAGCCCAGAAGATTAGTTTGAGTCTTTCAAGAGAATCTTTGCACCACAGGTTTGATCTCCAAATTAATTCTGCTGCCCAAAGCTTTGCAGGGACCAAAAAATCACAGCGACAGGACAGACCCCATCAGTGCTGACAACGCTCAAGAGCGACCCGAGGTACAGAATCCAACCTGTTTCCCCTAAAATGGGACCAGTTTTTAAGGCTGTTGTCAGGACTGTTCAGACACAACCTGCTCTGCCCCTGCTGACTGTTCCCAGCACCCCCAAGCTGGATCAGCTCTTCCTTGAGCAGCACTAAGGCAAATCTACAGCATCAGAAACAAATACACGGAATTAAATGTACAATATCACACCATTTTGGCTCTGAACACATCACTGAAAAGCTCCTCCCTCACCAAGAGGCTCAGAAATTGCTCTAAACCCTCCCAAATTTGTTACATATTCAGTGTTTGAGCACCAGACGTGATAAAAACCTGGCTTGATAGGATTAGGCTGGGAAGAGCCCGGCCCTGACCTTCACAACACCTTCCCACGTCAGTCCTGTCCCGTCCATCCCGCAGGTGAGACACAGGACACGGCCCAGGAACAGCTCCAAGCTGGGAAAACCAGGAACAGGATGCAGCCCCACTGGTTCCCAGGATGGGCTCACTCCCCCTCCACCTCTTTCTGCCTCTTTTCAAGGAGTGCAGGGATTTGTTGGCGGGGTCCAAGGCTCATCCTCGCCCCCCAGCCCTGCCAGCTCAGTCCCCAGTGGTGTCATTTCACAAGGAAAGAGGTTTTTAACAACCAAAGGGGATTTTTGCTGACTCAGCAAAACAATGGTAAGATTTGACACAGACTTCAGCAGAGCCAAGGCACCACTCCCAGCCTTCATCCCGAGGGTCTGTGCCTGAGTTCTGCAAAAAAACAGCAGCAGAAAGCCAAAATTTGGGAGTGGAGGATTAGAAACACACTGTAAGGCAGAAACTTGTATTTCCTGCTGTAGCACTGTTCCCTCACTCCCAGAACATCCCTGTGACAGAAATGACAGCCCAAGGCCTGGGATGGAGCTGCCCCCCTTGTGTCACTGAGAGATTTCCCATCTCCAGCCCTGACAATTTAAGGAAGCAATCGCTGCTTCAAAAGGGATCCTTCCTGAGTTTGGAAAAACGGTTTCATCCTCGACAAGGTTGGGATTTATTTTCTTATTTTAGAACTTATATAAGGCAGGAGGAAATAATCTTCTTTGAGCAGAGCACCCGCTCTTTTTGCACCCAGGAAGAGCTGCCTGGAGGAAGGAGCAGTTCAAAGGGATCTGCAGAGTTTGGGGTCAGTGTTTGAGATCACTCCCAGGATGGGATGATTCTCACCAGAAGAATTAAAATTAAAAGAAACCTTTTAAGTTCTTTTTGCCAAAGGATTTGACCTGGACACAAGACTGAGGGGGACAAAATGCCTTAAATTCCAGTAAGCCTTAATAAGATATAATGGTTAGGGAAAGTGAATATTTCCAGCACCCAACTTTGACTCTCTGCAAGAAGACAGGCTAGCAGAGAAATTCCTGCTTCCCTGAAAGGAGCTGGGCTAGTGGAGAGAGATTCCTGCTTCTTTGCAAGGAGCTGGGCCAGTGGAGAGATTCCTGGTTCCCTGTAAGGAGCTGGGCCAGTGGAGAGATTCCTGCTTCCCCTCAAGGAGCTGGGCTAGTGGAAAGTTCCCTGGTTCCCTCCAACACCCCCCCCGAGCTCATTTTGGCTCCCCAGAGGAAATCCCCACCTTCCCTCTCCGTCCACCTGCCAAAGGAGCCCATCCTGGGATAACAGCTGCTGTCACTGCAGGAGAAGCGAGCCAGGGTGACAGCAAAGTTCATCAGAGTCGTGCTAACGAGGCTCTTTCCTAGAAGTGGGTTAAGTGACAGCACGGGGACTCCCCATGGGAGGTGAACGGGTCAGGGCAAGCAGGTGGGAAGTGGAACCTCATCCAGCAGCATCATCCCATCCCATCCCAAACCATGCCAGGGCACTCACACAGAGGTTTTGGTGTCGTGAAGGTATGCACAGCCCAAAATGCAGCACAACCCCTGGGACTGCTGCCCTCCCACAGCCCCAGCACATGCAAGCAAGTTCAGGAATTAAAGTCCAACCAGTCTGGCTCCACTGCAGCGCTGGATTCCCCACAGGCAGGAGCACCAGGATATGCTGAATAACTCGGGCAGCTCTTTCACGTTACTATTCTGGCATGGGTAGATCCAATTCAGGAGCATCCTGCGCCCTCCCTCTTCCTCCTCCTCCCCTATATCCTTGCCACCCACGTCACTGACTTGTGCAGCCATGCTCCAAAATGATCCAGGAAGCTGGGAAGGGAGAGGGAGGGGTGGAAAAGCAAAGATAACCCAAACCTCACACCGTTTTCAGAGCTCCTTCCGCAGGGAGAAAAGACAAGGAGAGCGACGAAGCAGGAGCAAGGGCAACCTCTTATATCCAAGGGGAATCTCTTAAACCACCTCTGCAACCATCAGGTCAGTAAAGAGGAACTGCAGCCTGTTTTGTTCCTTACAGCTCTCCCTCCTCCATGAGCAGCACGCCAGAATCTGGGAGAAGGATGGCAGCCAACGGGCAGCGCCGGCGCTGGATCCTCCTCGTGGCTGTTCAGGGCTCATTAACTCATGAAATATATATTTAAAATCTCACCTAAGTGAGATACTTCTGGCACATTAATAAATGCAGGCACAGACGCAGTGGGAGTTCCACCCAGTCCCCGTTTGGCTGCAGCAGCGATTACAAGCTGGGGAATTTTGGGAGCTGTGGGAAAAGGAACACCGGCTGGAAACCAAACAGAATTTTTCTGGAAACCAAAAATCTCCCTAAAAAGGGGAGAATCTCTTTTAATTAGAGAGCCACAGCCACACTCTGAGGAGAGGGGAATATGAGACTGCTCTGTAAAGCAATTAAGGAAAAAAAAATCCAGCCCAGAGCTGCTGGAGCAATCAGAGGCACTGCCAAATGCTGAGTGAAATGACAGTCAGGAGGAATTCCTTGCAGAAATCTCCTCCTTGTATCACATTTCTCTGCTTGTTCCAATCATGCTACAAAACTGCAATTCTGTGAGATTCCTGTGTGCTGCTCCAGCAATGAAGGACCTGGAAACACGCAGCAAAATCAGCTCTTACAGCAGGAATTTGGACAGGTTTTCCTGCTCTACTCCTGCCTCTGAGGTTGGAGGGGGGAAGAAATAACTCCATTATGTTTTCTCTCAAAATGGATTCATTTTCCCTCAAATAGTGCTTCTCACTTAAGCTCATTTCAGCCACTACCACCCATTTTCCCCTGAGCAGGCACTGCTGGCCTCTCCTCTCCTCCCCTCCCAGCTCCGAGGAAGCACCTTCTCACAGGAATAAAAATATCCCCGGTCTCCAGGGGCGCCTTTCACAAAACCATTCCAGAACTCCTAATTTTCATCCCTGCCCAGAAACAGAGTCTCCCACCAGCCATGCCCAGGGTTATATAATCCCCACACGTGCCCCTGCTTGTACCAAAACTGTGTATTAAAAAACACAAGATAAAACCATCAAGCGAGATTACAGGAGGGCAAGAAACCACATCAAATTGGAGCATTCCTTCCAGCTTTTTTTGAGCAGGGAATCTACAAAAGCGCTCCGAGCAGGCAGGGCTGTGATGGCAGGGAGCTTTAGGAGAGCTGTGATGGCAGGGAGCTTTAGGAGAGCTGTGATGGCAGGGAGCTTTAGGAGAGCGTGTTTCTCCTCTGCAGCCTCTCCTCTATTCACCGCGCAATTAAAATGCAGGAGGTGAAATCCCAACAGCAGAAACACTCCATTGAGCCGGCTGGGAAACCGCCCGGGCTCTGGGAACGTTCAAAAGGAGAGGCTCTGCCAGTCACAGCAGCTGGAACTTCCCCGGCATCACCCCATCCTTGGCAGCTCCACCATCCTCTGTGCCGGGCGAAGCCTTTGTTCGGCAGCTCGGTCCTACCTGGCAGTGAGATCCAGAGAGCTCTGGCAGTGTGATCCCGGAGAGGTCAG